AAATGATGGACGCTTTGTGTGGTTTGAGCTCTTTAGCATAGCATTTTTCACACAAAGCTTTTAATAAAAAAATCAATAAACAAGTTCTCAGCTTATTTTTGCAGAGAAAAACAAAGTTTTTACATGAAGGCACGGGTTTTAACCGTGAATTTTGGAGCTTTGACAAGACGGAGGTTTTTTCCCCCCCGAGGTCGGACTGTTAGCTTAGCTCATAGCTTAGCTACTCATCTTAGCTGCTTTTAACGATCCAAAAACACGATTTTGGACGGTTAAAATAGATTTTAAAGAGAAAGGGAGGGGTCAGTGAAGAGCACCGGAGCTGAGCCTTTAGTCATCCAGTGTCTTCAGTAGAAAGAGAGAAACACAAAGAAACGATAACGCCGATAAATGAAAATGAGGTCCATAATTTTCATTTATCATGCGATTAATTGATTTATTGTTTATTGTGACAGGCCTACGCATCATTCACAAATAGCGAAGACAGAATCCCGAGGCCACAGAGCCAGACTCCCTCCACCCTCTGGTTGCACCAGAAACCGTTTGTTCAACTAAATTTGACTTACTGTAGAGCTTCGTACATGAAGCCTGTTCTGGAGCCCTTTGGACCACACAATAAACAAAGGAGAATAAATGAAAAGCTTAAAGAAAAAGTTGAGTCAAAGTTGAGTTTACACGCAAAGCACATTTAAAAATGAACTTAGTGCTGTGTAAAAATATGAAATCAGTTGTTACTAAATCTGCACTATAAACCAACAACAAAAAATGAATATATAATACAAGCTTTTTTTAGAAGAAATGTGACAACATTGTGGTTAACATTGTCCTCGAGTGTGAATTAAAGCAAATCCTGAAGTTTTACAAAAACTAACATTATTTTTCCAATGCCTAAATCCATTTAAGCATTTAAAGCCCAAAACTGAAGCACAACAGATGGTTGCCTAAATCCACACAATAATTGCCTTTTTTCACAATCTCACTGTATTTCAGTACAATGGTAATAAAACTTATTCTGATTATTACAAGTCATGTTGCCAAATTTACTGCCCCAAATACTTGTTCAGCTAGAGAAAAATCCTATAAGTAGTGCATATATTTGAGATATACCCAGAGTTAGTAAAGCACAGACACTCTTACTGTGCCTGGCTTTGTTATTTATAGGAATTCATTCTTAAAGCTTAAATCTGTATTTAAATGAAAGCATGCCATTAATAGCAGACATCAAATGTGTTCAATCTTGCTCTTGTTGTGAATGGGATGCTGAGCAGAAGAACGCTGCAGGAAGTAAAGAGCGTGGTGGAGAGAAGATCTTTTGTTAGAGGAAGATGTTATCAGAGGGTCTATTCTACAAAGTTACATTATTCCTAATTTACTAAGGGGGGAGGAATCTAAAACATTAATTCTGATAAGGATGGTGATAAAACAGATGACTTTTCTGAACTTTGTTACAAAAGTGCCTTACGGAGGAATCAGATGAAACAGGAACGCCCTGAACATCACGCTCTGTGTAGACTCCCCCCCCCCCCCCCCAAGTCCTTCACATTTTATTTTTAATACTATGATTTTCTTTTTTAATCTTTGTATTTTAATTTTTGTAGCTTGGATTATCCTTCTCCTGTTATCCCCGCGAGGGAAGGAGAACACCAAACAGCTCTCCAAGCAGGTTTTCTGAAATAGCTGCTTTTTACAGATATCCAAAGTTTTCTTCAGTGCTGCACATTAATATATGATAAAGGGTCGCTACTTAAACTTTACTCTTTCACAAACTGGTAATTATGTTGGCTTTGCTACAGCTTTAATGCATACCACACTGGTTTAATTTGAAGCAGGCTCAATTTTGAAGAACTTCTAAACAAAAACACACAAAAATGACGTTGAACTCATTTAGAAATCCCTTCTCAAAGCTAGAACTGCTTATTATTCATTATTAGAGAAACACCAGACTTTTCAGCACTGTGGTCATCTCTAGCAGAGTGACAGCTCTGACAAACACTTCTTTACAAAATGACTGCTGTAATTAGAGAGAAAACAAACTGTATCCATTTCATTATTACCACTGATATACCATTAAAACAATGGCCACTTCGAAAACAGCTTTAGAACCTGGTTTGTTTTTAAGATCATGGATTTGTCTGGATCAAATAGATGTGTCAGTTGATAGTGCCAGATGTTGTCAGCGCCATGTTGTCTGAAAACTAAAATAATCTGAAGAGTTTTAGTCAAATGTTTAGGTCTTTTTTTTTAAATATATATACAGATGCTATACATCACTGCATGACAGCCTCTTAAGTGACCAGAGAGCTGTGCAGCTGAGTTTAGCAAGGTCTCTTTCTGAAAATCAAAAGTAAAAACAAAAAAAAAAAAACAGCTGTGCACAGAGATTGCAGAAATACATTTTGCATTCAACATTCAAGCAACAAGATTGCACGCTTTTGCAACTTGTAAGGAAACTGAGAACATCTGCAAACGTTTAGAGACATTTTGGAGACTTGCTCGCCAACGCTGCAGCAACTGTGTGCTACTAACAAAGTCCATGCTCAATAATCCAAGTACACAATCCAACAATGCTACTAAGATAGTTTATTTAGGTGTTTGTGTGTGTGTGTGTGGTTGGTTATCCTTAATGGTGCATTGCCACTGTCTCAATTCCCATTGGTCCTACACCACAAAGCACCAGTTAAGGGCATGCCCACAGCTGGTACCCAGTCCCATTCAGCCCAGTTTATGGGACCAACTTGTTCGTGGTTCCAAGCGAACTGCTCAGATGTGTTTTTTTTTTCTTCTCTCAATGGCTCTGTAACGAGGCGCACACATTTCTTCCCTCTCCCTGTTCTCCTCCTGCTTTGTTGCTCTCTGTCTGTGTATCAGAGCAGCTCCTATTTTTACACATCTTCCGAAATGAAAACTACTGTTCTGGACCTGACCAACTGGACTTTCGATGCAAATGACAAAATCTTTTCAACAAAGCGACAGGGTCCTGGAGAACCCTCATCTGTTCAGATGAGATGCTTGCAGCTGGATATATCTCTGGGGGTGATGTGTCTACCTCTGCTATTGATCGAAGACGCTGGAATTGCATATAATTGGAGTTATGATAACAGGTTTCTTGTTTTTGGAATAGTCTGGATCCTGGTTTATCAACGTACAAAGAAGACGGACGCAGCTAATTTGACCCTCATCAGGCTGCTACATATGTAAAGGTTTGGTTTGTGCTTTGAGGACTCAAAATCAGCTGATTTTTGAGTGAAACCGTAAGTTGGAAGTGATTTGAATCACAGGCCACCTGTGGCTTTGGGACTCGTCAGCATGAAAACAACCTTGAAGAGGCTCATAAGCATGGACCAATAGAATGCACCCTAATCTGGCCATTTCAGACCTTGGAAGTATCAGTACAGACTCAAAGCCTGACAAGCAAAAAAATAGTCTGCCTGAATAAATCAACAATTGTGGATTATCTGAATGTGACTCCCCGATTGGCCTCGAAATAGGCCGACTTATCAATTTCTCCTGGGAAATGTGGAAACTAAGGAAAGCTTCGTCTATCGCAACTGTGCCGCCTGACCATAATCTTATCAGGACAATGGACTATCTGTTAGTGCTTTATGGACCGCTTTGTCGTCAAACGCATATGTAACGTGTTCATAAATGTGCTGCTGGCAGAGTTTTTGATGTTTTAAATCGTGTTCCGTTAGGACAAGGTGTGAAGAGATCTTTTTTGTAATGCCACACTACCTCTCCTCATGGCTTTGTCCCTTTTTCTATCTAAAAAATATATTCTGTAAAGAATAAGAAGGCCGCGCTTATAGCAGCAGCTACGTGCACTCCGCCCGTCTTTCAGATTACTGTACGGACATATTCTAGTATCTCGGTGCAATGATTAAACAAAGCTTATTCTGATTCTGATGTGACGATTTTGACATAAGCAGATAGCAGCTGTTGATTGTCCAGCGAAGTTACGTCACTGAATGAGACCCCCCCACCCCCACCCCACCCCCCAGCAAAACTGCAAACTACATCTGAACCTCCATTACCTCTCTGATCATGTTGACGGACAACGCCATAAGAAATGAGTGTCTTTACAGAGAGATAGAGATAATGTCACATCTGGACTTATAAGCAGTGTCGAGATAAGCTAAAGAAATTGAAGTCCAATTATAAGGCGATTAAGGACCAAAACGGATGGAGTGGCTCAAGACAATGACCTGTTGCGATACCGCCCACTTCGCATTGACGATCCCATCCACAGAGCGGGAAAACTAGTCCCAGTGGAAAATCATCTCGAGCTGAGAAGAACCAATAAGACGAGAGCCGAGTTGAGTCGCACTTATCAATGGTGAAGTGGCTTACGTGACCCTGTGATGGACTGGGCAAGATGGAAAGGGTGTACCCTGGCTCTCTACCAGAGATGGACACGGAGATGTGACATTCACAAACGATTCAAATCTTTTGAATGACTCTTTAAAAAAAAAAAAAAAGAGGGCGATGGGACCCAAATCGCAGATAATTGGGAGATGTTAATTTTTTCCTTTCCTTTAGTTTTTTCTTCTCAGATGCAAACCCACACAGGCTCCTCGTTTACACTGAGACGAAGAAGAGCGGGCGATGTAGGCAGTAGTATGTCACTGTCTGTACGACGTGACTAATGGTTCAAAATTGAACGGCTCTTTGAAAGGAATAGATCCACAAGATCCAGCTCCCTTCAGAGACATAAATCCCATTTCTAGATAGAAATCAGCACCCTGCAACCCTGAGCAGAAGCAAGTGGCTAAAGAAAATGGATCGATAGATAGAAATTGAAGAAGAAACCTGAACTGAAATAAGTTAACCTGTTTTGGACTCTACAGTAACTCGAACAGTTTTTGGTAAATTGCTGTTGTTGAAACTGGGCTCAGACATTTGTTACTGGCTCACCAGCAGAACTCACTCTCATTCTGGCCCATTTGATTAAATACACTGATTTTGTATGTGCTGTATCTTAGCCGATGCATGCACACGTGATTTACCTGAACCTCTCGTGCGTGGTAGGCTATGATGAGTCCCAGCAGGATGACTGTGGACAGGCTGATCAGACACTTCAGTGCCAGGGAGTACATGGAGCTCTGCAGAGAGAAAACAAAGACAACAATAAAAAAACAGACACACAGTTAATGCATTTGCTACGGTCCTCAGTTTATAGTTAAATAAATAAATAAGTCACAGAATCATTTAAAAGTCCTAATTATCCTAATTTAATTATTAATCTGGTTTCTCCTGTCAGACGTCCATCATCCCCAAGGAACAATCCTATTAACATTTCAAAATCAAAGCTGAGGAGAAGTAGAATTGTAGTATTTGACCCATCAATATCTGTCTGGAGTCGAGCTTTAAATCCTCCTCTTGCCTACTTTGATAGGCTTTATAATCAATGCACTGGGGAACTTCCAATCAATGCAGCTCACAGCACTTCAGCGGCTTCTTTTAACCTGCTCACCCCTCGCTTTAGGGCAACGGAAAACTTAACCACTGCCCCCCCCCCCCCCCCACACACACACACACACATTTGTGCTCTAGAATGCACACACTGGGTTTAGAGGAAGAAAATCAAAAGATAAAAAAGGTTAGGATTTACTTATTATCCATCTTTGGAGGAGTACTGGTTTCAGAATTGTTTTCATATATTTTAAATGTTTTATACGTTTCATTTTAAGTAGATGTACTTCATAAATAAATGAACGAGCTTGTGATACGCACAGTGAAAAGAGCATATCAACTATATGACTACTGATTGGATGTGAAGGCCATTAACCAAATACATGTTCAGCCGAAGGTTTAACATCTGTATTCAATCTACTGTATATGTGAAACCTAAAGCAATAGTTCAGCTCTTTTGAATTGGGGTTATGGGCTGTGCTTAATTTGAGCCGGATCCTGCCGGAACATGATCCGAGAACTCTCTTTTTTTGACAGGGTGCGTTTCTGGTAACGGTTTGCTTGGATCTGGTAACTCTCAGGCTTACTAATAATAAATTTATGAACAAATATGACTGCCTTGAACAAATAAAACGTATACTGACAATAATTACATAAACACTCATTTTAAACACAACTGCCACTTACAACTTCTTAATATCACATACAATCTGCCTCTTCAAGTAGCATTTCCAAGTCTGCCCTTAAAAAAATCTCTGTCCCTAAAAAAACAGTGGGGGTGAGTGCCGAACGAGCTAAGCAGCCAGTCGTACGCAGGCAGGAGCCCACAGGCAGGAGCCCACAAGCAGGAGCCCACAGGCAGGAGCCCACAGGCAGGAGCCATGAAGGTTTCACATGTGGAGTCAGACAGTGAATTCAGCGGAGAAGAGTCAGCTCGGAACCATCAAGTGTGGGGGGTGGGGTAGAATGCTTGACAAAAGCAGAGTATTTACAAATGTAGGTCTGTCGATAAAACGAGAAACTGCCCAGATGACCTGACTGACCATTATTAGATATTTAACCTGGATTATTGAGCATGAACTTTGATACAAACGTAGGTAAACGTAGATGTTTAACAACATGTTAAAACACACCAACATGCAGGAAATCTCATCTACTTTATTCAAAATTTTCTGTGGGAGGACCCCAGTCCCCACCCCCCACTCCCCCCAGTCAGCACACTCACTATTTGCGTTCCAGCATTGATCGGTTTATAAATTGAGCCCTGGTTATGTGTAGGGATACACTGATCCACATTTTTTTACTTCTGATCCCGATACTTAAATCTAAATATTGGCCGATACCGATCCAGTTCCGATATCATCATCATCATCATCATCATTGATTTTATACGAGGCTGTAATAATCTCCTCTCAAGTACAGTTTGTACAAATAAATGCATGCGTGTCCAAAAAGGCAACTTGAGGTAAGTTTTATTAATGTTGGATAAGTTTTAAAGTTGGAATTAAATTCTGCTAACACAAATCATGTTTCTTTTTATTCCTAGCTTTAAAGTGGATATTGAAGTGATTAATTTAAGTGATTGTTTAAAGTTGTTTTATTATTTTTTTAAACAAGGGGCAGATATAATATTTTTCTTCTTTCTGCACTCTTTCCATTCAATGTTTTGTTTTTGATGAATTTGTCTTGTTTCTTTTAAATGAATAAAATAAAATAAAATGTTAAATGGCTTCAAACATCTGCTAAGTTCATGGCATAAACCAACAGACATGTTCCTGTTTTTAGTATTTTACATCATTTTATAATGAACTATAGCTGTTTTTGTTTCATTTTTATATATATATAAATAATTTTCTTGTAATTTTCAAATCATATGTTTTTTTTATGATTGTTTACTGTTGTACTGATAAATATCTCCTGGAGGGTAAACTATATCTTGGCTGCAAGTATCAAGCTGCGAAATCCTCCATTTTCTACAAGTGATAGTGGTTGGTCATTAATTATGATGAAGTTTAGCAACTTTTCTGTAAACATTTGAGCTCCGGGGCTTCAGCGATGTCTTCTTCTTGTTCAATCCGAAGCAAGCAGCCTGATTTGGGGCAGCCATGCTCAGTCTGTCCCTCCTCAGAGACGGGCAGACTGAGCGGGGCAGAGTGGACGCGGCTAGCCGGGGTTGAGTTGGCTGTTTCGGGTTGAGCAAGAGTAGTGCCACGCTGAAGCCCCGGAGCTCGAACGTCCAACGTAAAACGAACTTTACCACGGTTTAATGTGGTGATACGGCTCTGCAGACATTGCATGATGATGTCTTGTTTTGTGGTGTTTCTAGTGTAAAATACTTCCACACAGCGGACATGTTTAGATGAAAAGTTGGTTAGCTGTTAGCCACAGTGCTACTGCACGTTGTAGCTGGCTGCAAACTATGAAATGGATTTCCTGAATGTGAGGCAGGTCTTATGACTCTGGGCTCATGAAACACGTCTCCGTTCAGGAAATCCATGCCATAGTTTGAAGCCAACATGCATCATGGATCGGAAATCTCTGCAGGTTGGATCGAAAAATGGATCGGTCACATCGTCACCGATACCCGATCCAGAAGTTTTTCAAATATTGGTACAGATACCGATATTAATATCGTCTCGGTGCATCTCTAGTTATGTGGAAAGGTTTTGAGAGGATAATGTCTCAACTGTTGTACAGAGCTCTTTTAATGACCTCAGTTTGGACAAATCCAGCTTTGTTTGTGATCACACCGATAACTCATCATCATCATCATCTTCATCCTGTCCAGCCTGATCCCTCTGTCTTGCCAATTGATGAAAGTCCTTCTTGCACTCTTTAGTGTCCAGCCTCCCATACAACTCATCATATGCCTTCTGCTTTGCCTTTGCTCTACGTTGCATCTCCTTATGTTCCTGTCTCCTCCCTTCAGTCCTCTCACTGTCATATTTCTTCTTGGCTAATCTCTTTCTTTGAACGGCGTCCTGCCCTTCACTATTCCACCACCAGGTTTCCTTATCATCCATTCTCTGTCCAGATGACACACCCAAAGTACCTTCTTACTGGTCTCTCTAATTATTGTTGTTGTAGCCCAGTCATCTGGAAGCTCTTTCTTACCACCCAGAGCCTTTAACAGCTCCTCTCTGAATTTCTCACAACATTCTTTATCTTCCACCATTCGGTCTTCTCTGATTTTACTCGTTCCTCTTCTTCACAACAACAGTCATTCTACACACAACCATCCGATGCCGTCTGGTCATGCTCTCCCATCACAACCTTACAGTCCCCAATCTCCTTCAGGTTTCCTCTTCTACACAGAATGTAGTCGACCTGCATACTCCTTCCTCCACTCTTATAGGTCACTCTATGTTCCTCCCTCTTTTGGAAAAAGGTGTTGACTAATCCAAAAATCCACCACCATCTGTCCTTACTGGTTTCTTTCTTTGAGAATGAACAAATGGCTAGTCCATGTGGGGCCAAACTACAGTGGTTTGAATGTTAAAAGATATATCTACAACAGGTAAGATAGTGATTGTTCATAACCTTTCCACAGAACCCCACTTACAATAACCCGAGCTATAACTTTAAGGTGACAGCAGCACACATATGTAGCTCTCATCTGAAAATAAAACATTTAATGTTCAATAAACGTGTTGAACTTTCAAATAGTTAGATTTTTCCCCTCTGTCAGTTTTATTCTGGCATACGAGCAGCAAAAGGAATTTGGTGGGGATGTCATGTCACTCCACCTCTGTTCCTCTCTGCTCCTCTCATCCATTTTCGTCATGCACCGAAGAGTCCAGAGACATGCTTGGGGCGTTTCGTCCTGAGAGCAATCCAGTCTGTCAATTTGTCCTTCAGCTGGACCTGTTCAGCCAGAGTGGAAATGCATACTTCCTACTGGTTTACTATGAAGTTTGACATCAAATTGTGTATTTCTAAAATTATATTTCTGACTCTTTTTTTTTTTTAGGTCACATTAACGTTTTTACTTTTAAAAAAATGAATTTTTTACTTCTACTTTGAGACGTGGATCCAAAGTAAAACATTGATATTTTTGTTGACTTCCAAACTTAACTTCTTGTACAAATTTACAATTTCATTTTTTTCTCTTTTTATTTTTTAACCCCTGTTCTAACTAAAATATGTCAACAAAAAACATTGAACAACTTTGGATATTGAGGCAGATATTTCTGGGGCCTTGAGGATTGAATAATAATTTAAAAAACTGGTCCGATCTTATTCTCTGATTGTCATGAACAGGTCAGTGTTGTTTCTTCAGTTATATTCCAACATGTGTTGCTCTGACAAATTCATTGTGTGAATGTTTATGAAGCATTCACACTATTGTGATCCATTTATCATCTGTATGTTTTTCGGCATCTTTCTCATTCTGCAATTTTTGTGCTATTTCAACAAATCATATATCAAAATGTTTTCAGCTCATCCAGGACAATCCTGCTATGACTTTTGGTATTAGTGCAACTTTAGCTTTTTGAAATATTTAGCCTTTTCTGACACTTTTTTTTCCTCATAGAAAATGATTTGAGCTCATTTTATATCCTTCAAATCTTTAGATCTGTTTACAACCTTTGACTGCTCATTTCACATTTTCTTTTGGTTCAGTTTCTTTCAGCTTCCTTGTGCAAATTTTAACCTTTTTTCAGCTACTTTCAGCTAATTTCAGCTGTTT